CCCCCGGTGAGACTTCGTCGCTCTCTTTTACCGCCGGCCCCTTCACTGCCAAATCATCAATGTATGGCTGTGTGATATGGGGGCTGACTGACTGCATAGCCCGAATCATGGTCTGTTGGACCATTGCTACCGCATTGGTCCACCCTTGAGGGGCCACGTTCATGTGGATTAATCCTCGCGGCGTATGCATAGCCGTCACCGGCCTATCCGGCGGGTAGACTGGGAACTGATCGTATCCTGAGTAAAGGTCTATAAGCGAAATCATAGGCCTTCCAGCACAGGATTCCGACAGCGCGTCTGCATTTGGCAGCCCTCCAGCATCTCGGACGGTCACTGCATTCAATCTTTGCAAATCTTGTACCCACCGCAGCGTCCCGTTAGGCTTTATGAAGCAGAACCACGGGGACGCATACGGTCCACTTGAATAGTCGGCGACGTGAGTACGTATCTTGCCGTCGAGATAATCCACCACCTTCTTTTCCTCGTCAGGATTGGGATATCGCGTCCCTCTCATGTTCCAAGGCTCGTGTGGCACGGTATGTATGCGGATCATAGGTATCTTGTCTACATCCATCCTGCCACGCTCCTCGTCACTAAACGCGTAGGCGCGATGCTTCCTCTTCATTAGCTCCACCATCAACGTTCGCTCCTGAGGGAGCAGGAAATCAGACTCCCCTATGATCAACTCCTTCTCGTTCCCTTCATTGATACGACATGACCCTGCTAAAACACTTTCCCTCATTCTTCGAATCAACCCTCGTTCCTTTTCGTAATATGCCTCCTCGTCCTCTGTAACGAGGACGGGAACCGGGCGGCACTTCTTGTCTACCGTCTTGTACCGCCTTTGGGAACCCTGCTTGAGCCGTCCCCTAAAAAAGGCCGACTCACGGATTGTCTCTGCGCTGATGCGGGGTTCCCTCCACTTCCTGGGAGCCGATATACCAATTCCAACCTCCCTGCCTCAGGGCATTCCATAACTTGTTCCCTCAAGGCCTGGATGGCATCCGGATCTGCCATCTCATGCACGGCGACCAAATCCATGGCCTTCCCAATATCTGACAGGTTGAGGGAAAATGCTTTCACCCTCTCTCATGCTTCGGGCTCTGCCCAGAGTCTCCTGCGCTCCCCTTCCGATTCCTCGATCGTGAACGATCCTGGATTGGGTCGGTTCCTTATACTCCTTGGCCCGGTGTTCCTGCAAGTAATTATTTCATAATTCTCGCAGGCAGGATCGCATAAGAGGAGGATCAACGTCCCATCATGTTTGTTAAACACCACAGTCTCTGTCCTGCTTAGGAATAACCTCCCCAGGAGGATTCCATGGTCTACGTCTGGCATTATGAAAAAGCATGCCCTGGCCTTCACCTTTCCAACCTCGACGAGCACATTCGAGGCTGTCCCGCAAAACACGGCCTTACAGATGGCTCCATGCAGAATACCGCAGTCAAAACGGTCTATATCCAGCCCAAATCTGATCGCGTCTGCCTCCCGAATAATGTTAATCTCTGCCCCGGTGTCCACCATTGCTGCGCACTTGGACCCCTTCACCATCAAATCCACCGTACCGCAGGCTACGCACTTCCAGTCCATCTTCGTGCCTGACTCCGACCACTCTGCCCCCTTGCGCAGGATCGTACCGAGATGGACATTGGGCACCAAGCGTCGCGACAACCTCCCTTTCAATTCCTCGCGGAGTCGTGGGGCTGACGCTAGGATTTCCTTCAGGGTCACGAGATCGTTATGCCCTTCTAGCAGCCGGTCGATCACTTTCTCTACGTCAAATCCCTCTTCCAACCGAACCGCATATTTCTTCCTTTTAGGCGGTCCGTCGCGCACGACCGGCTCGACCTCTCCCCTGGTTCCCTTTTTCCTCGCCCGCTGCTCCGCTTTCTGATCCTCCTCCCTACGCAGCCTCTCGTCCTCTTCCTCTTCATCATCATCATCATCATCTTCTACTTCCACGGCCTCCTTTCTCTTTTCTGGCTCCGCCTCCCTCCTCGGAGGTTCTTGGCTGGCGCTGACTCTGGCTTGATTTCTCGTTCGCGCTGCCTGCGCTAGCCGTGCCTGCGGAGTGAGGGGTCTCCCCCTCATTCCTGATCGTGGGCATGACCCCACCACATTTACTCCAGGTCGCCCAGGTGCTGATTCCTGGCCGGAGTCGTAGAGGAACACCTTGGGGATGCTAGTTTTTCATCTCTTCACTTCCTCACAGAGGCCCACCAGCTTCCGTTGGTACCTCCCCATCTTATCCAGCAGGTCCTCCATCTTCCCATATAAGTCGGACGGAGACTCCATTCTTTCCTTCTCATTTTCGTCTCCTGCCTCAGTGATTACGGGTTCTTTCTTCTTACCCCTTCCTAGTAGCCTTTGAACCATTTCCTTATCACTCCTTACTTCCTCCTTCCCAATCAGGGGTTCCACCTTTTCCTGCCATAGCCTGAACATGGCAGGGGGTTGCGGCCCAGCTGCCGCTCTTCGTTGGGCTTCAGCCCTCACTCCTCCAAGCCTTCTGTCGATGGCCTCCCCAAACTGATCATAGATATTCCCATCCATAGTAGAGGAAATCAGTCCGCTTCTCTCGTCTTCCCGTCTTATATTACAGAATCTTATAGTGTGGCCTTGCTGGTCACAATGTTGACAGATGGTCGTCCTCCAGTCAAAACGGGGTCTTCCATACCCCTGACTTCCCTGATCCCCCTGGCCTTGATACCCCTTGCCTTGATAGCCCTGGCCTTGATACCCCTGGCCTTGACTCCCTTGGCCTTGGTACCCATGGCCTTGACTCCCTTGGCCTCGGTACCCATGGCCTTGACTCCCTTGGCCCTGGTACCCCTGGCCTTGGCCATTCCATTGTCTTCCTCTTCCGCCGCCATTCCTACCTCGGCCCCTTCCTCCACCCCTACCTTCATTGTCTTGATTGCCTTGCCCCTGATTCCCTCCTCCTACAACACTGCCCTGTGAACTGGGATCAGGTGACGGTGGCGGGGCC